ACCAGAATGTATTCTTAGTCTTCTCTGTGCCTTTGCAAATAGCCACATTTGGAGACAAGATAGACTGGACCAACCACTGCTCAGAACAGCAGTGTTCAACATAGTATTTACCATTATATGCATCTTCACTAGGAAGAAAAGTTGACTACACAAGAGATACATGCATTATGTCATGAGACATGGTACTAAACTGCAAGCATCCTTGAAGGCTACTTAAGTTAAGAATGCAAATGCTGCTTCTTTGGCACCAGTTCAAACAGCATGCTACAAGGCATTCTATGTCAGTCAAATAATGACTGCAAGTTAAGAGCTCTTTAATTACAGAAAATAGGTCTTTAATTTCATCTCAGATATCATTTCAGACAAGCATTTTCAGTATGACAGTCCATGAAGAATAAATGTATACATTATGGAAGTTAAGAGCTCTCAGTGAAGTCACCGTAACATAGAAAGTTGTAGCTGAACAAAGCTTCCTATCTGGTTGAACTTCAGCCGCCATCATTGCACACAGTTACGTTCCTTTAAAAGGTTTGGTTTAAAATAAGAGTTCATTTAAATGTCTGGAGGGAAAGGCACTTAGTATTGCAGTTTCCAGAACATGATTTGTTTGTCTTCCCCTCCTGTAATAACACTGTTGCACTGTTCATTCATCCACATGGACATTACAGCACCTGGGGAAAAAAAAACAAACAAACCCAAGCAAACAAGTAAATAAAAATGCAAGTAAAAGTGGTACTTGAGATGATAGAACAGATCTTTTTAAGAGAATTTAGGATCATCTGACCATTGGTTTGGATTGGACTGACACCACATATGCTAAGTAGAATTTTAGTAGGCTTCTACATAGCTGCTGTCATTCACAGTAATGATCTCATGCTACACTGCCCCTCTAGTACCCAGAGGTACTAGAGGCAATGTCAGTTGCAGTGTAGAATGCAGATGGTGCACTGACAGAAGGATTCATGGGGATAAGGGGAGCAGGTTTCTCCAGAAAGTAACATTTTTCACTCTGCTATTCAGACTTCTCATATTAAAAGTATATTCACATCTTCTACCTTATGCCTATGAGCCCACTTCTAAAGATTCCCCTAGCTCCTAACTGATCTCTATACAGGACAAGTTCCAGAGTACAGCTAGGCACTCCCTAGGGTAGTAAGGAGCTTGAAATAACTGTTCATGAAGGCAGCCTTAAAAACCAAACTGAATACAGCTGAGTTTTTCTCCTTCACACAGCCTGGTTGCTAATGTACTGGAGACTATACAGATACTTTTAAGAAGCCTATAAATCTCCATCCAAAACAATCTCTCTAATGAACTTTACTTACTTTGGTGTTAGACTCACAGTCTGGATAGGCTTTGACAAAGTATACCACACAGTTTATACAACACTTTATTAGGGATATGAGGTAGAAAAATGTTGACTTTTGTGAGGCTGTGTGAATTACAAAAATCTAAGTAAGTCATTCATTTACCTTTGTTCAGTCTTGTAAACACCAATATTCCTCCATTGTTATTAAATTTCCTAGGAGGCTCATGTGGACCTACTTTTAGTTCTGGTGTTCCAGGGAACTAACAACAAGAACAGCCCACTGATTGAGCAGATGACTCTCAAACTTTTCAATACTAACAGAGCTGGAAAATAGGAATCTTCCATTCAATTTGAGAATAGGGATAGTTCAGGCATACCTGTATGTCCTTTGATTCTTTCAATAACTTTTCCTCCAAGAAGGTCCCAAATCAGTAATTCACCAGATTGGCTTCCTGATAAGATGGTATTTCCATCCCATTTGAAGCACCTGCAAGTAAGTCTGAAATCAGTTCACTTCAAGCTTTTGTATAATGAGAACCAAACATTTCCAAACTAAGCCAAAAGGAACTGAAAATGAAGGTATGAAACTGAAGGAAATTTTATCCTTTAGCACAGTCTTTCTGGAAAGGTTATTCCCAAATTATTTTGAAGGTTCATGACCAAAAATTGCTTCTCTGACTGCCCTAGACCCAGCCAGACCTCCCCCTAGCAAAAGGATGAAACATTCCCATAACAGAAGAGGACCCAGTCAGCTGTACACGTGTATGGTACCCAAGTACTCTCATGAGCCACCACTTTCACTTGTGTCACTTCATGTTCCTGAAACAATCACTTGAACTGCAAAGAGGACTTTCAAGAAACTAACTGAAGGAATAGATTTATATGCATGTGTGTGTATATATTTTATTTATGTATACAAACACACAAGAAAGCAACAAGTGTACTCCATGTATGGCTGCTGTATTTTTACTCCAGTAACTGAGTAAGCATTCCATCTGTTTACTTGATAAACTATATAGGACTGTGTGCATTCTGGTTTGTGAAAAAAA